GAATGGCGTAACTAAATACTTTGTATACCAACCGGCTCAGGGCAAATCATCGAAATACAATCATTATCCACAGCTAATAGAAGAGGTTATTTGCCTAGAGCAAAACAGACAACCCACAGTATCAAGAACTCCGGCCTCCAGAAGCTCATCGTCATCATCGTACTCTGAGCGATACCAAAATTCTATCGGTGCCATTAGCTATAGGCCAACAGAAAACCAAATGATACTGGCCTCGAACAATTTTCATCCCCTCTCTGTGCTCACAAAGAATGGAACAGCGGAAAATTCTCTAAATGACATGTGTAGTATCTGTGGTGCCGTTGGAGAAGGTGGTCCCATGGAATTAAAAGTACTTCGAGTTGACGTAGATGGACAACCAAAGATATCACCAGATGGTGCAGTCTATATGTATAGCAGCACTAAACGGCTCACGCCGGAGGATTCAGAAAATGTCAGCGGTTATCAAAGAAGACCTTCTCAAATTCATCCTTCTCAAACTCAATCTTCTCAAAGTCAACCTTCTCATCATCGTCATCGACATCATCGCAATGATGATGATTACAAAAAGAACAAGGAAGAAACGGAATACAAATTTCAGTTCTTGAGGTTAGACAATAGCAGTAGCAGCAGTGACAGTGAGGATTCAATCAGTGGAGGGCCAAGGAGCGGTGGCACATTTAACATACGACATATCTGAGGACGCAGGAAATTGGAAACACGAAAATAAAGGTGGAGCTTAACCGAATGCGATTTCCTCTGAATTAATATTCTCATTGTGATTGCGCATTCTTACGTGTACACTCGTTACTATTTCGAAGTTCATTTTATGTAACTCATGACAAAAAACTGCTTGTCAATTATTTATTTTTTTGCTAAACATATGTTAAAAAATACTCACAGTTGACTTTTTTCTACAGTGATTTCATTGTTTTAATTATTTACGGTCGTTCAAGCTAAAATGTTGGATGGTACGTTATATTTATCCGGTGACCTAACGATAATTTATGTCTTATTTCATAAGCCTACCAGACGATAAAACAATAGCTAGAATGACCTGCTTTATTGTATATTGTGGTTTCAGCGAAGTGTAAGATAAGTACAATAATAACTTTAATGAATTTCAAATTTACCGCAGCTGTAGTCTTTCAGAACGTGTCTGTTCTTACAGAGAAAGCATTTACTTTAATATTTCCTGAACTCTCTACGTTAAGAATTACTTGGAAGTATTGCAATGTTAAAAGAGTTAGGTTGATTACCTGATAGAGTATCTTTAAAATACGAATACTTGTGTAAATTCCACACTTGGGCTTCGCCGATAGTGCCGGTGTATGACACAATTACAGGGCAGTCGACCTATTAGTTGCGGTCTCAATATCCACCGTGTGCAGATAGTGCAGTTTCTCAACTGGTGTTCTTTTATTCTCCGCATAAATTACTATTGTATTAGAAGAAATCAGTCTGTCTTAAGCCTATAAAGCTTAATTCTCAATGGGTTTATCTCCATGGAACTATAATTTTCGCGAAACTTACTTCCAAGTGCTTAACTAGAAGTTACCGATTAACTTCTGGGGAGGGTAAAAGGCAACTATGATAAAATAAGTTTCCTAGCGGTATAAAGACGTCATTTATTTAATCTGAAGATGGGAATCATTTAGTCAAAATTTTGCTAATGTTTATTGGTTCTCGAGCTAAAATGGACAATGATTCTTCGCAGATGTCAGTGCACATTGTGCTTTCGTTTGACTCTTAAACTGTTGGGAAGCTGAAAATGGTTTGAGGTAAAAGGTGGCCAGACTTTAGTCATGGGTCAATTCGCTCTTTGGCGTCTTTTCCAAAAACGCGAAATGAATCACATAACACATTTTAACTTTTCCACGTCAAGCTCACCTTATGAATTTAGGACGAGGAAAATGCTGGTGTGACGTTCAATCTTCGGTATTTATTAAATAAAAAGGAAATCGGTATATGTTTTCTTCGAACCCAAAGTGCATGTAGCTGGTTTTAGAAATAATATCCTCTGTTCAAGAGCATGGTCATGGGGCCGAGAGTAAACATCTAATATTGCTCTATTTGCTTAAATAAAACGCTTTGATTGCCAAATAGAGCATACAGTCACATATTACCAATTATTATTCACTTTTTATTGTAAGTAGTGATGTCAGTATGCATGGCTCACGCAATAAGTAGGACAATTAACATAGAACTTGAGAAAGGGTGTCAGATTGAAAATATATTAACAGTAGGTTTTGATATATTTGTAAAAGTAATTTGATCCAATTGCGAAGAACTCGATGCTTGTTCTAACCACCGCGGTCCGTGAGTTTTAACACTTTTGGGTCACATTAACTGCCTTGTCTACCGCAACGTAGGTAATCAATCAATCTTGACACATTAAGGTGACTGCAAGGGAAGGATTTCTCTTACGATTACTCCAGAGTACATCAGATGACAAGGAGATCCAGTTAATCAATACGAGTTCATAAACGTTCACGATTTCTTAAAATCTAACTGATAAGTAAGATATTGGGTTATTGTAAATCAGTTTTTCTGAAAGCCTCTGTGAGGCAGGTGCCAAAATATAGGCTGCCAAAAAGATTCGTAATAAGAATTTCCCATTCATTCACTCTTACAAATTTTCCAACCTCGCAAGTACTAAAAAACCTATGTTTTGTTTAAATTACCACATTGTCTCCTTAAAATACGTCGAAGGGGATTAGTCTGCTGGCGTTGAAATGCAAAAACTTATAAGTTCATGCAGCACACCATATTAAATTTGGAACAGAACAGTTGGGAGGCTCTCAAAACCACGAGAAGCTCAAAATTACTCGCTTAAGTTGACAACATTCTGATTACCACAGTTTCATACAATTTATTTAAAGAAAAGGTTCAGTGTTTCCTTAAAAAACCGAGGAATCAGATTTAAAAAGATTATAAATACAGTAGCCGCCGAAGACCATGCAACGCTAATTATGAAATTTGCCTGGACAATTCGGTATATAATTGAAAACACTATTGTGATTCATTCAGTTTATTGAATTCTGCAAAAGCCTTTTTGAAAACACTACTGTGATTCATTCAGTTTATTGAATTCTGCAAAAGCCTTTTACTTAGTTAAATCGTCATTTTAGTTAGGTTTATTAAGAGAAATAAACTTAGTTTGGTTAAATCGTCATTTTAGTTAGGTTTATTAAGAGAAATAACCATAAGTTTTGGGAGTCATTTTAGTTAGGTTTATTAAGAGAAATAAACATTAGTTTTGGGAAAATTAGGAGTAGGCTCATATAGAAGGAATTTCCTATTTATTCATTCAGTTTATTGAATTCTGCAAAAGCCTTTTACTTAGTTAAATCGCGTTTGAAAACACTATTGTAATTCGTTCAGTTTATTGAATTCTGCAAAAGCCTTTTACTTAGTTAAATCGTCCATTTTAGTTAGGTTTATTAAAAGAAATAACCATTAGTTTTGGGGAAATTGG